CGCCCCGCCTCGCCCCCGCCCCGCCCCGCGCTGCAGCCGCATCGACGAGCAGTGTGAGGAGGCGCTGTTTGGGCTGCACAAGGCCACCAACCTAATGCTGGACGCCCTCAAGCAGGCGGAGACAGAGCTGTTCCTGGGTGCGTCGCGGCAGGAGATGCGGTATCGACTTCACAATTTATAAGACGGCGCACCCCATTTCATCCCCCCGACGTGCTTGCCGCATTGGGCTCGGGCATTTGGGGGTGCCCGTGGGCAGTGCCCCATCGGGCAGCCCCGCGCTGCGGCCAGTTCGTGTGCCTGCAGATTGCCCCCTGCTTGGCGGCTAGAAGTGGGGCCTATGGCGCGGCGTGCGGATCTGCACGCCAGCCCACCCCACGGATTTGAGACCTCAGGAGACCCAACCCCTTGCGTGTACAGTGCGTCACAGCCCCACCCCCACCCACCTCACTCTCCCGCTGATTGCTCACAACACCCTGCCCTCGCGGCCTGCAGGCACCCTGTGGGGTTACCGCGTCTACGCGCCGCTGCTGCTGCTGGGCCACACCCGCAAGAACTGGCACATGCCAGTCACTCAGGTGCGAGCCCCGGCCCCCGCCCCCGCCGCAGCGCCGCCCGCGTGAGACGCTCCTCCCCTCCTCTGCTTGTCAAACCGCCTGACGGAGGCGAACCCAGTCTAACATGCGGCCGTCGCGGCGCCGCGCAGCTGCGTGCCGTTGCTCAGGCGCAGCGCGCCCGCCTCCTGAGCACTCGTGAGGCATGCGAGTGCACCGACAGCGCGTGAGCGTGCGCGCCTGCATTCACGACGCCGCCCTCGCTCGCGCGACCGTACGCCCCGTCCGCCCCACAGATGCAGCAGGTGCGCAACGGCGTCCGCCGCGTGGCACGGATCGTCTGGACGCTGCACCTCACGCTGCGGGAGGGGTTTGACAACGTGATGATGGAGACCCTGAAACACAGGTGGGCCCAGGGTTTAGGGTTCCAGGGTCCAAAGTATTGAGGGGTCAGGGACGCCGCTCGCAGGCCCCTTCGCCTCAACCGTCCTTGCGACGGGCATGGGAGCGTGGCGGGGCTCTTACCGAGGTGCGTGACCAGAAACGGGATGGTTGCCGTCGCTTGCGCCAAGCACTGACCGCGCGTTTTACGCTGCCGCCTGCCCTGTTCGCCTCCATTTTCCCACAGGTACCCGTCATCTCTTCTTGACCGCCTGCAGGCCTCCTCTGTCGCGTTCACCCGCGCCTGCCGCGACGCCATGCCGCGCGGCTCAGACCGCGTGCGGCCGCCCACGACCACGCTCTTCCGGGCCCGCGGCCGCCGCAACGCACCGTTGCCCGGCGCCGGGGGCAAGCCTGCGGACGGACAGGCGGGTGGGGCCGAGGCGCCGGTGCACAGGCGCGTCGGGGCTAGGTGCCGACAGGCGGAGCGGGCGCTGCGGGTGTTCAAGCGGACCCTGGATGTTATAAACGAGGTTGGTGGGGCGGAGGGGGCTTGGACGAGCTCGAATCGAGGCGGAGCCAGCTGTCTGTTCGTTTGTTATCCGGTCCCATAAGATGCTGCCAGCGCTGTGGACTGCTCGGCACTGCAACTTGAACACAGTGTCGTTTGCTTGACCTGTCCCTACATCTTATCATGATCCATCACCTTGCTTATGCCAAACCGGCCGTCAACCACCACCTTCAAAACCCCTTGAAACCCCTTATCCCAGATCTCCGAGGGCCAGCGGAACCAGATCATAGATCATATCCGCCGCTACAACCAGGCCGCGCCGCGGCAACCAGGAGCGTGCGGCTGCGGCGAGGAGGACGACGAAGACGACCGCTTCAGCTTTGATGAGCCGGCGGTGGACGAGGTGGGTGGCGCGCGTGTTCTTTTCTGTCAGCCGCACACTCGCGCCCTTCATAGGCGTGACTGCCGCAAAAAGCACCGCAGTCTCTTTAACTTTCGCAAAGTTTGGGGCCGTAATAAGTCACTGGTTCTCTTGACCGGTTGGTTCTCTTGACCGTTTGAACGCAAGGGCTGGCCAGCGGATGCAATGCGAGGGGGTCGGAAAATACAGACAAGACTGAGGTAGGGCTGCTGGAAGCGCCAGCCTGCGATTTCAAGCGGTCCAAGCAGGGCACAGGGACCACGCCCCTTCCTGCCGACGCTTCCAGGCCAGTCGGTGGGGCCCCCACATCGCGCAGGAGTCAGCCAGCCTCGTGGCGCAGCCTGACCGCGGCCGCCGCCGCCCTCCCCTGCGTGCCCCCCCCCTCTTAGGACCGCCCGCTGGCCGCGGTGTCGGCGCCGCCCCGCGCGCCGACCGCCGCTGCGGGCACGTCGCCGTCGGCGTCAGCGTCCCCGCTGCGCACGCTGTCCGCCACGCTGGGGTGGGTGCCAGCAGGGCGCGCATTCATGCCGTGTGCGGCCCCATGCAGGCTGTGTAAGTGCATGCAGGATGACTGATGGGCTCTTGATGAGCGCGCGTGCGCGCTGCCGTTCTGCTGACTGACTCGGATTGCGACACTTCTCCGACGGCTGCCCTCTGTCCCTTACCAAACCTCTTCGCCCCGGCGCAGCGCGGCGGCCGGCACCACAGCAGCCCTCGGCCGCATGCTCGTCCGCGCCGCGTCCATGCCTGCAGTGCGCCCCGCCGCCGCCGCCGCCCCCGCCGCGTCGCCGCGCGGGCCCGCGCCCGGGCGCGCGCAGCCGGCGCGCCAGCTGCGCGCCCTGATGGGTGCAGGGCCGCGGGGGAGGGCGCCCCTGGACTCTGTGCTCGAGATGCTGGCGGCAGCAGAGGAGGGCGAGGCGGGCCCAGGCGACGTGGGGCTCAGCGAAGCCGCGGCTGTGGCGGCGGCGGCAGCGGCGGCGGGGGGCGGAGGGGGCCTGAAGGCGGCGGCGGCAGCGGCGGCGATAAGCGCGGTCGCCGGCACACCGGCGGGCGTGGGGGGCGCAGGGGCGGCCGCGGCGGCGCCACCGCGGCCGGTTAGGCAGGCTCCCTTGGTGGGGCAGCACTCAGTGCAGCAGGAGGCCCCATCGCAGCAGCGGGAGGCGCGGCAGCCGCCTGGCGCTAGCCACCAGATGCCCAGCCTGCCGCGCCTGCGCATCCACCCTCTCTCGCGAAGCGGCACGGAGGACGCCGGCGGGCTTGCGGGTGAGGGCCGGGCCTGGGCGCCGCTATGCAAGCGGGGCAGTCGCGGTCCGGCGAGCGTCCTCCATGCGTGGTTCAATGCGTCATCGCTGACTGTGGCATGCAGCCTGTTCATGGACCAGGGCTTCTGCATGTGAGTGCCTCTGCCCCTGCCTCCCCTCCATGCAAGCGCCTCTCCCACCTCAAGACCTCTTCTCCCACAAACCCGGCTTCACCGCGCAACCACCCACCCATGAAACCTCCTCCCGGGTTGCAGGCGCGTCGCCGTTCCCAGACTCCCCCCACCCCTCAGAGCGGATGTCACTTGACGATGCCGTGCTGCGCCAGCACATGCCGCACGTCGGTGAGGCTGCGGCACCCACCCTCAGTCACCAAGAGGCCTCGCTCGCCGCACGCACGCCCTCGTTTCACATCGCGTAGCCACGACCCTGCTGTGCCCATCAGCTCTCTCTGCATGTGTGAGTGCGCGTGCATGCATTTGCCGGCGCGCGTGCATGATACCCTGCAGTACGCACACTCTTCACAAATACACCCTCACACTTGCACTCACACATGCTCAACACACCTACGCTCTGCAATCCCTCTGTCCCAAGACACACCTCGTCTGTTCTGGCCGTCAGGCACAGAGGGCTACCTGGCAAAGGTGCGCTGGCGCCAGCGCGTGCCCTGGGGCACGGCCGAGTGGCGGCAACTTGGGCTCCAGGGAATACAGTGCCATGGCTGCCAGCGTTTTCCTCGCTCCCGCGCAGCCAGAGATGTCACTTGATTTTGCAGACGCCTTGCCTTGAGCCTACCCCTGCCCTGCTTCCCCGCGGGCCGCGCTGCCCCCAAAAGGTGCGGTGGTACAGCTTCCAGTTCCTGTGCGAGCAGCTGGAGACGGAGTTTGACCATCTGCTGGAGAGGTGAGCACAAATCCGCATGCGTGCATTCAAGCGAGCATGCAATTGCATGCGTGCATATGTGCAATGGCATGCATACGCTTGCATGCAAGCGCATGCATTCATGTCAACATACCCCGCACCAGCACCATAGATCGAGATCAGCCTTCCGCTTTTCTGCAGTACCAACCCCAAAAAATCTGACTGGGCATATCGCATGCGCAACCGCCACACCCCTGCGCAGCCTCTCGGCGCTGCTGCCCCTGCTGCCCGGCTGCAATCCAGGCGGCGATTCCGAACATCCTGGGCAGCAGCTCCCCCCGCGCCCTGTCAGCACCCAGCCGGAATGACGTGGCTGCTAGCGGTGCTTGCAGCGCACTTGGGGCCCAAACGGGGCGGCGGGTGCTTCAAGCCGGTTTTCGTATTTGGCCAGCAGATAGTGTTCGTGGTTGGGAGATCCTTTGCTTCCACACAGTAGTCCTTTCCAATGTTTGAAGGGGAGGAGAGGGAGCGGTGCCGACAAAGGTTGCATCAGGCTTCACTATCTCGCTCAGCACTTGTTGACCTTCGCTCAACCCATCAGTCGCCACTGGCCAGGCGGTTTGGCTACAGTCCGCCGCCATTGCGTGAGCATCAATGGTATTTGAAGCGAGTTCGAAACAATTCTTATATTGGGGCGGCAGGTTCAGCAACCACTGTGGCCGGCTGCGAGCAACATCGCAACTGTCACCCCCCCCCCCAAGCACCACCGCCAACCCACTGCGAACCAAATAAATGTTGGGCTTGTACGACAAATCTCTCACGTATGCTAGGCGGCACGCCTCTGGCAGATGAGCGCGTCAAATGGGGCTAGCCAGCTGCTACCGAAGTCCTACACTTGGCTTTTGTTGTCTTGCACCGGCGGGTGTCTGCTATTGCACCGCCCTCTGCAGACGGTGTGAGTGCGGTTGCGCCCGCACCGGCCATTGACAATTTCCAGCATGGCTAGCCATCACATCCGCACTGTCCGCTCCCCTCATCCTACATAAGCTCTAATGTGTTTGATGCTTTTGGCTCGCCTGTGAATTTCCCTTACGTTCCTGTTTACCTATCTTGCGGACCAGGGACATTGGACCAATTTGCAAGCAACAAGACTTGGTTCTCGTGTGCCTACCACATACCAGTAATCAGCCTTTGTGTGCTCAACCTCCTCTGATAGTTACATTCATCCAAACTTGTGTAGCGTGTGATGTCAATGCCACGGCAAGTTTTCGTGCACGGAGGTCTTGTTGGGCCGTGTGCGCACCTGTTTATACTGGAGGACACACAGCCGGGAATGCTGGTGGTGTTGGTCTTGTTAATCGTCGTCTTGCAAATTGTGTCTCCCCTGGAACACCTGCTTACAAATGAAAAACCTTTAAACATGCCTGCAGAGATGAGCCCACGTTCGCAGGGCGCTATTTGGAGGGGCTGGGTCAACACCCACCACGAGTGTGGCAAGCAGGAGCGTGCACACAGCAGATGGGGTCTCTCTGCCCATACCAGTGACCAAGGATTGCGCACAAGACCTATGCAGTGATCATATTTGCGCGGGGCAGTACATGCACTTGAACCCGTGCTCGCACTTCAAAGAATTCAAAGCGGCTCAAAAGCAGGTCAACGGCAACACCCGCCCCACCCTGCGCTCTCCAGTAACACAACCGGAAGCTGGGCATAAGCCCATATAATCGTACAGCATATATCCCAAGTGATGCTGCTTTCGCCAGGGATGTGGATCGCTGCCGCTCGTCCACATGAGATCCAGCAGCGGCGGCGGGCCGCACACCGGGATGCAACGGCCCAAAGTCGAAACAAATATCGCGATAATAATTCGCGTTTATTCGATAGCTTCCGCGAATTTTCGCGACGGTCGCCGGCGCCGGCGCCGTTGCTGCAGCAGCAGGTGGCAGATTCGCGGCCGCCACCAAACAAGTTGCACGCTTTGGCAGGTAAACATCATTTTCACCAATTCTGATTGCAGGCATCAAGCGTCACGCAATCACCTACACGCATACAGCACGCGTTGTCCACACGCCTGGCCCGGCCACCGCCCTCAGTGCGTCGCCCGCGTTGCCGCCACGCTGCTGCCCCGTTGTGCGGCGCACCTGGCCCCGCCGCCGGCCGTGCGGCCTTGTGGGTGCGCACGGCATCCATGGACGACGTTTGCATAGACAGCGTCGCCAGTAGGCAAAAGCAGGCCGACCTGTATGCGAGCCTGGCGGCGATGGGGTATGACCTGGAGAAGGGGTGGAGCGCCATTGTCTCCATTCGTCGTGCGGGCAACAGCGCGGGAACCAAGGTAAGTTTCCAGGTCACTCAGCGCAGCCCGCAGCATGGGGTTCGACACTGGCCGCCGGCGCCGTTGACAACTCTGCGGGCGGCGGCGGCAGCGCGAGCGGCCTGCCGGAGGGCGCCCCGTGTTCTGGGCTCCTTGACCATCCCTTCAACCTCTCCTCAGGACACTTACTATTGGAGCCCTCAAGGCAAGAGATTTCGTTCAAAGAAAGAGGTGGCGGCTTTTCTTGGGCTCGTTGCTGGTGCGTCCATCCGCGAGCAGTGCAACCCGGGACCGCGATCGGCAACGATTCGGATTGCGTGCACGCGTTATTACATTCCGATTTACAGCGGAGATCGGGCCCTGCAGACCCCGGCCGTCCCGCTCGTTGCGACACTGAGACGCAGGCGGCAAGGCTAAGGAGCTCGCCGTCCTGGAGAAAGTCGGCAAGAGGGATCCCGACCCTCTGTACAGGTGGGATGCAGGGTCCGCGGAGTGGCGCGGCGCCGTTCTGTCGCCCGGGCACACATTGCTTGACCGTGATGAGACTGTCGCCAATGGGCGACTCCGCCTGCATCCAATCAAGTCGTGTTGCAAGGGAATGGGCTGCAATACCTGTTCTGCAGAATAGCACTGGTCAGTGACCGCGCGTCCTATGGTTCCGTGTGCCTCGCTGTCTGTGTGCCCAGGCCCTTCAAGCGGCACCACTCAGAGCGGTCCCTCCAGGTGCGCGCCTGGAGCAGCGTCGCGGGGCACTGCCCAGCGGAGTCGTACGCATCGACTGCTACCACGCGCATGCTGCAGCCCTTGCCACCGCCCCCTCCATGGCTCTGCTCTTTCCGACGTGCATGTGCGTGCACGCTTTGCGCGCCGCCCCGACAGGAACTGAGCGGGGTCTCTGACGGCGGCAAGCCGTGGAAGCGCAAGTGCCGCAGCATCCTCAACGCCCTCATGGCGCACAGGTGCACCGCGCGTTCTGCGTAGCTTGGTATGCATGCCTGCAGCGGCGCTCTGGTGACGAGGCGCGAGCACAACACCCCGCACATGCGCACGTGCCGAGCGCCTGGCAGCTGACCTGCCACTGGGCCGCATTGTTGTTTTCAAGATTGGACGCCCGACCACCTCAGTTCTTCTGGTGTGTAACAGACACCACGCATGAGACGATACCCTCCTCACCCATCAGTCCCTCTGGCTGCCACACCCCAAACCCGATCAACTTCCAGGTACTCGTGGCCCTTCATGGCCCCCGTGAAGAAGAGCGAGGCCCCGGGGTACTATGACGTCATACTCCAGCCTATGGACATCGGCACGGTCATGGCGCGCCTCGAGTCGGACCTTTACCAGGTGCGCGCTGCAGCGCGCGGCGGCAGCCGGCGGAAACCAGGAGCAGCCGCGGCCGCCGGTTGCCGCTGCTGCCGCCGCAGCTGCACCCCGGAACATGACTTTGGGCGTCCATTCCTCTCACTCGAGCTGCGGCTGGCCCACTGGCTCCACCCGAAACTGCCGCATGCAGACCGCGGAGGACATGCAGCTGGACACCAACCTGGTCTGGTCAAATGCCAAGATCTATAACCATAAGGGTGATGCCATATACAAGATGGCCGAGGAGCTGCAGGTGCGTGGTCGGCGGCTTTGAGTACAAAGCATTGACCGCGTTGCACCTGCGGAGGCTGCACTTACACCTCAGCTCAGCGCTGCGCGCATGCTTGACGTTTGCGCCACTGCGCGAAGTGCATGCATCTGTGCAAGTGCTGAGGGGCTCGGCTGCGGCACGGCCTGTCGTTGCGTTCTTCCTGGCGAGTCTTGGCGGCGCTGACGCGGCGTCACTCGCCTGGTGCGCACATGTGTTTGCAGGCGCTCTTCCAGCGGCTGTGGTACGAGCGCTTCGCCCCCGGCCAGGAGGCCACCGGCGGCAGGTCGCCCCCTCCTGAAGGCCCGGCCGAGGATGCGGAGTGGGGCGGCCACACGGGCAACGGGGCGCGCAACGGCGTGGGCAACGGCGCGGGCAACGGCGCGAGCAATGGCGCGGGCAACGGCGCGGGCGCGTCCGAGAGCGCGTCTGGCGCCTCTGACGACGACGATGAGGAGGGCGCCAACCTCCTGCACGCGCTCGCGCTGATCGCCGCGGGGGAGATGCCGTCACCCAGCAGCGCAGCGCCGGCCAAGGGCCGGAGGGGCCAACGCCGGCGCGAGGGAGGCGACGGCGGAGGGGAGGAAGGGACGGAGCAGCAGCATTTTGAGGCGCGCGAAGCGAAACGTGAGGAGGGCAGCCAGGGGGAGCGAGAGGAGGCTGAGCCGAGGGCGGCTGAGGGGGCGTCACAGGCCAACGGCGGCTCTCGAGCGCCTGCGGGTCGCGCCCGGCGGAAGCGCCGCTCCAGCTCGTGTTCTGAGGCGTGCGGCTCTGATGGCGGTGTTGAGCACACGGAGCGGAGTCGGGACCAGGACAGGCATGTGGTGGCTGGATGCCAGCAGCAGCAGCAGCAGCAGCAGCAGCAGCAGCAGCAGCAGCAGCAGCAGCGGCACCGGCAGCAGCAGAAGCAGGAGCAGGAGTGCCGGCGGCACCAAGAGGAGTGCCCCGCGGAGGACTGCGATGCGGCAGTACACGCTGCAGCCGTTCCCGAGGCCGAGGGTGCAGCCGCTGCTGCCATGGCGGCGGCCGCAGTGGTTGCAGCGGTACAGGCGTCGACGGCCAACGGGAACGTTGGCATGGATGGCAGCAGCACTGATGAGATGGAGGTTGATGGGGCCAAGCAGCAGGAGCAGCCGAAACAGCAGCCCAAGGAAGGACCGGAGGACGCGACCACAACTAGTGCAGGTGGCAAGCCACAGCCAATGTGTGTGGACAGCAGCGAGCAGCTGGGGCAAGCTGCGGCAGCTGAGGCTGCTGATATGCTGCACAAGCCAGAGCCAGCGCAGGGGGAGTCGCAGGAGGAGCCAACTCGGGAGGAAGGGGAGCGGCGGGCACAGGCAAGCGAAATGCCGCATGAACAGCAGCAGCAACAGCAGCGGCAGCAGCAGTGGCAGCAGCAGCAGCAGGAGAAGGAACAGGCGGCTCATGCCTTGCCAGCTGCGACTGCAGGAGCAGAGGCCTGCTCGCAATTCGCGGTGGTTGACGATGCCTGTTTGGCCCAGGCCACCACAGGAAACAGTCGTGGGGGCGCGGCAGCTGCAGGTTGCGCACCCCAGCAGCCCGCTAGCCCTGCAGGAGGCACAGGGCCCAACCCCTCGGCTGAAGTCGCGCTCCAACCACCAGCTGCGCCGCAGCAGCAGCAGCAGCAACAGCAGCAGCAGCAGCAGGAGCAGCAGCGGCCGCTCCAGCAGGAGCAGCGACCACAGCCGCAGCAGGAGCAGCGACCACAGCCGCAGCAGGAGCAGGGGGCGGAGCAGCGAGCCACCTGCGTAGCAGACAAGTGGTCAAACCCCACGCCAAGCCCCGCAACGTCTCCACCAGAGGTGAAGGCAGCAGCAGGCTCAGCGGCAACAGTGGAGGGCGCAACCCCCACGCTCGCGACGGAGCTGCCCGATGCAGCGCGCATGGGCCATGGCCTGCCTGCAGGCGCGTCGGCTCGCAGGCCAGCCGATTTTGGTGGTGGTGCAGCGGGGACCGTGCTGCCGGTCTGCACTGTCATTGCCAATGGCGTCCCTGGGCCCTGTGCGCCGGCGGTGGCGATGCACCCGGCAGCAGAGCACCTGCTGCCCAGTGCGAATGTGAAGTGAAGCACAACGTACTGGAATGCAGGAGTGTTTGCAGCCAATTTGCGTGACAAGTGACATGAGACAATTATAGCGACGGTGCACTGCTTCGGCACGCACACCAGTCGCCCTATCGGCTGTGTTGGCAAACACAGCCAATTTTTGAATTTTTTGGTGTTGGGCCCCAGCAATGCCCTGCTGTGAAGGGAGCGCATTGTAAAGGAGCTTGCACCACCAAGCGGCCGCAGGGGGAAGGAATCTGGAAAGCTCGGCACGGAGCATGACTGGATGCAGCGGCGCGTCTCTCCCGCACCCTCTCTCGAGTCGACGCTGCGGATTGCCCCTGGTGGTGCGGCGTTGTTGCGCCGCGAGGGGCGCCAGCGTCCCGCCGGTCGGGGCTACCTGGCGATCTATAACTGTTTCATAAATACCATGGTGCAGGTCCAAGTCTCTCGTTACGAGCTGCCGTGCTTGCGCCGCTGTGACAAAGTGTATCGCAAGTCGCGATCCTTGTGAACGCGGTAGGACCCTGAAAAAATGACGTTCTGTGAGAGTCCCAAATCACAGAACATACTATAACGCTGCATTGACACCACTAATCTCTATCAACGACTGCTACCCGTGGCCCCCTCGTCTTTACGCGGGGCGCACCTGGGCCGGCCAGCGCGCTTTATCATCAATCACGTATGTATATTGATTGTTGACCCGGGGGCCGAAATGGTCCAGCGCCCCTTGAGCACGGGAGAGCAACTTTCAAGGGAGCTCGCGGCCTCAGCAGCTGTTCGTCGCGCCGTGGTTGCGGTGATGACGCTGATATAGCCTTCCATTGGACATCGGCAGCATGGCGGCCTTGGCTTACGACAAGCTCGAGGTCCCCCTGGCAGCGCTCGGACTCATGGGGCAGGCGAAGCCCTTCTCTGGTCAGTCCAGCCTGGGCAGGAGTCACAGCGAACAGCTGCACGAGCCCCGCTCAACCGCGCAGCAGCTGCAGTGCGCTGGCTGCACTACTGGGGACCCAAATGACCACGCGGCCGGGGCGTGGGCGCGCGTGCTGTCGGCAGAGGCGTGGACGTCCGTGGGCGTGCACGAGGATGCATATGAAGCCGACTCGGTTCCTGTCTATGTCATGCTCCCGCTGGACACTGTGAGCGGCTTGCCGGAGACCCTTGCGTGCAGGCAGCAGCGCTGGGACGCCCACGACTATGCTGCAGGGCCTGGGGATGGGGGGGGGGGGTTGACCTCAGCTGGGGGAGGACAAAGTGCGCAGCCCTGCGGCAGGCGCCCGACAAGTCACCGCAGCAGCACCGCAACCCCCCTCTCTGCGCCGCCGCCGCCCGCCGCCGCCCCCTGGCGCGCCCAGGTCAACAAGGAGGGCGTGTTCCGCTACGCAACAGCGCCCTGGTTCGCGGCGGCGCTGCAGCTGCTGGCCAACTCGGGCGTGCACGGGGTCGCCGTCGACGTCTGGGTGAGCCGCGTTGCCCCCAGAGCCCGGCCTTGGCCTGGGCAGCCTGGGCAGCCTGGGCAGCCTGGGCAGCCTGGGCAGCCAGGGCAGCCTGGGCAGCCTGGACAGCCGCCAGCCTGGGCGCACGCCAGCCGCAGCGAGCAGCAGCAGAACCGCGCGTTCGGCGACGCAGTCACGGAACCTCAGAGCGCGCGCTCTTTGGATTGTGGCACCCTCTCAGTGCGCAAGCGGCACGCCTTGAGCCGACTCCTGGCCCCGCCCCGCCGCGCCGTTGCGCGCGCTTGTCGGCCAAACCTCTGCAGTGGGGCGCAGTCGAGCGGTCGCCGCGGTGCTACGCGTGGACGGGCTACAGGCAGCTGCTCGAGGTGCTGCGGCCCACGGGGCTGAAGCTGCAGGTTGTGCTGTCGTTCCACGCGTGCGGCGGCAACGTGGGCGACCTCGTGCAGATCCCCCTGCCGGAGTGGGTGCTGCAGGTGAAAGCGGCCGCGCGGCGCTGCGCGCACGAGCTGCCGCCGTTGCGCGCCCCTGCACGCCCCTGCCCCAGCCCCGGACGGGCCCTCGCCCGCCCGCGCCCGGCCCGCGACGACCGCCCACCTTCCTCTCTCTGTCTCTCTTGCGGGCGCGCGTGCGCCGCAGGCGGGGCAGCAGGATCCGGACATTTTCTTTACGGACCGCCCGCGGCGGGGCGCCGGCCTGGGGCAGCGCAACAAGGAGTACCTCAGCTTCTGGGCGGACGAGGAGCCCGTGCTCTTCGGCCGCACGCCCGTGCAGGTGCGGCCCCCTTGCGTGAGGGCCCTCCATCCTGGGACACTGGCACCTGAGCAGGCGCCGCGCCGCGCCGCGCCCCTCAGTTGCTGCAAGGCGGCCGCGCGCCCTGGTGCTTTTGGCGCCGCGCCCTCTTGCGGAGCGGCGGTGCTGCGTCGACCGCCGCCCCAACGCCTGGCGCCGGGCAGACACATTGCATGCCAACCCTCCGCTGCGACCGGCCCCCCCTCTCGCCCTCACTTGCAGTGCTACGAGGAGTTCATGGCGTCGTTTGCCGAGGCCTTTGCGGCCGACCTGGGGGGACTCATCTCGGCGGCCGTGGTCGGCATGGGCCCCTGCGGCGAGCTGCGCTACCCCTCGTACGTAGAGGCCAACGGCTGGCGCTTCCCGGGCGTAGGCGAGTTCCAGTGCTACGACCGCCGCGCGCTCGCGTCGCTGGCGGCGGCGGCGCGCGCGCGGGGGCGGCCGGAGTGGGGGCTGACTGGGCCGCACGACAGCGGCGAGTACAACAGCAGCCCGCACGACACGGGGTTCTTCGCGCCGGGCGGCAGCTGGGGCAGCGCCTATGGGGACTTCTTCCTCAGCTGGTACAGCGGGGAGCTGCGGGCCCACGGGGAGCGGCTGCTGTGCGCCGCCTCGCGCGCGCTGGGGCGCTTCTCGTCCGGCGGCGCGACCGGGGCGGGCGACGCGCGGCGGCCGCGCAGCCCGCTCGGGCGCGGCGCGCAGGCACTGCTGCAGCGGCTGCAGGCCATGGCGGGCAGCGGCGGCGGCGGCGCGGGCGGCAGCGATTGTGGCGCGGTGGGCGGCTGTGGGGAGGACGGATTCGTCGGCTGCGAGAGCCCTGGGGTGCCGCGCGGCAGCCTGCCAAGGTCAGCGTCTTGCGTCTGGACCGCGCCTCTCGAGCCTGTCAGCGAGCATGCGCAGGAGCAGACCTGCGAAAGGGCCCCGTCCGGCGTGGCGGGTCTGCGAAGCGCAGCTGACAGCAGAGGTGGCGCCAGCGGTCTTGAGGGCGTTGCGCTTGAGCAGCAGCAGCAGCAGCAGCAGCAGCAGCAGCAGCAGCAGCAGCAGCAGCAGCAGCAGCAGCGAGCTTGGTCATACCAAAATCTTGTGGGAAGCGTGTTTGGTGCGCTGTCGACGGCGTCGACGCCCCGCGCACAGGCGTTGCAGCAGCAGCAGCAACAGCAGCAGCAGCAGCAGCAGCAGCAGCAGTCGCCCGCTCCCAACCTGGAAAATTGGGCGAGCATTGGCAGCGACAGCGGCACCGCGCTCTGCAGCCTCATCGCGCGCATGGGCATGGGCAGGGGCGGCCATGGCACTCGGGACTCGCCCTCTGATCCGGGCGCGAGCCTGCCCCTGTACCCACGCCTGTCCTCGGCTGACAGCCTGGGGGCCATCTCAGCCGCATCTGCCGAGCCGCCGCAGCGCTACGGCACACCGCCGCCACGGCAGCACGGCGGCGGCGGCGGCGGCGCGGCGGCGGCGCCCGGGCCGGCGACGCTGGCGGGGCTGCTGGGGGCCGACGGCCGCAGCAGCTCGACGCTGGCAGACTCCCTGGATGTGTCGGCCGGCTGCGCAGTGGCGGCTGCGCAGGGCCTGACGCCCCACGGCGCACTCACGCCAAAGATAGCAGCCGGCGGCTCTGTCGGCTCCCTGAGCCCGGACGGCTCTGCGATCGTGGGCTCTGTCGTTGCGCAGCAGCAGCAGCAGCAGCAGCAGCAGCAGCAGCAGCAGCAGCAGCTGCTGCAGCAGCCGGGCCCCGCTGCCGCCGACGGCGCCCTCACGGCTGCGCCGGCGCGCCCCCAGCCGCCGCAGCAGTGCCTGCTAGAGCACCTCGCGTGCGGCGTCAGCACCCTCGGGCCGGACGCGCTGCAGCTGCTCGCCAGCGCCGCCGCCGCCGCAGCAGCGGCGCGCGCCGCGCCCGGCCGCGCGCCGCGCCCGGGGCTCACGCTTACGGTCAAGGTCGCGGGCGTGCACTGGTGGTACAACAGCAGCAGCCACGCGAGCGAGCTCACAGCCGGCTACTACAACACGCCGACGCGCGACGGCTACGCGCCACTGCTTGAGCTGTGCGCGCGGCACGGCGCGCACGTCACCCTCACGTGCGTGGAGATGTGCGACGCGCAGCACCCGCGGCAGGCGCAGTGCGGGCCGGAGGGGCTGCTGTCCCAGATCCGCGCGGCGGCCGCGGCGCTGGGCGTCCCGCTCGGCGGGGAGAACGCGCTGAGGATATTCCTGGTGGGCGGGGGCATCGACGCGACCGCGCTGGACCGCATCGTCGGCAATACGCGCGCGCTCGCCGGCGCAGGCGTGGGTGCACGGGGCGGCGGCGGGCGGGGCGCGCAGGCGCTGCGAGCGGTGTCGTCGTGGCCGTGCGCGCCGATGCGGGAGCAGCAGCTGGTGCAGCAGCAGCAGGCGTACCCTGGGCGCTTTGCAAGCGCGGGCGGCGCCGCGTCGGACGCGTCCTGGCAGCAGCAGCAGCAGCAGGAGCAGCAGGAGCAGCAGCAGCTTAATAGGGGCTACGGCCTCAGCCCGGGCAGCAGCAGCGGCGGCGGCCCTGTGTGTGCCCTGGCAGGGCACCGCGCACACAGCGACGCAGGGTACGCGCTGCTTGGCTATGCCGGCGTGCAGTCAGGACCGCCGCTGTCCGCCCTCGGGCAGCCGTTCCACTCAAACGGCAGCTCCTCTGAGCTCGCCGGCAGCCCGGCCCCGGCCGCACTGGATCGCTCCCAGCAGCACGGCCACCAACTAGATCAGCAGCAATGGTTGCAGCAGTCGCCACAGCAGCAGCGGCAGTTGCAATATGTGTACCAGGAGCAGCAGCCGCAGCCCGAGCAGGTGCCGCCGCAACTGCTGCAGCAGCAGCAGCAGCAGCAGCAGCAGCAGCAGCAGCAGCAGGCACTCAGTGCCGACGGCCTGCCGGCGATGCGGTCGTTCACCTTCCTCCGCCTCGGGCCGGAAATTCTGGAGCACCAGGGCCCCTGGCTGTCCTTCATGTACAAAATGAATGGCCGCGCCTGACGCGCCGCGCGGTGCACCTGCGCCGCGCGCCCCGTGCAATGCACCCTGCGCGGGACACACGGGACGCTGGGGCCCGCCCGAGGTCTAAATCGAGGGGCGGACCCAGAGCAGAGCACGGCAGGGCGGCATTTGGTGCGTGTAGCTCAGGCTTCAACACACGATCTACGCATTACAGGAAGCACTGCGCGCAAGCACGGCTCTACTGCAGTGGGGCAGCCGCGTCGAGCCCGATACCAGCGCCAAGCAACACATGTCACGCACTGCTGTCTGAGAGCGTGCGTGTGGCCCTGCACGGCCCAGCGCAGGGCGCATGATGAGGAGCATGGGCCTGGATCTCCACAGGCCCGCTTTCTCGCTGTCGCAAGGCACCCCAATGCACTCGCGGCGGTGCGGCTGTGACGAACTGTTATGACGGGCCGAAGCGCATCTCACTTTTGCATAAACAGCAGCGCGCGTGCCGAGCTCGCAGCGCACGCAATGCACCACATTGATTTCTCCGGCCGACCCAGCTTGCGGCCACCTGGCATACGCAAAGACGTGCGATGCGCACCTTCTTCGGGTCAGAGGCAACGCCATGAGCAGTGGACATGCGCCCGCATGCAGCGCCCCGCCACGCCCTCGCCAGCTGGCAGCGCACCCGCCCACTTGCCTATCGGCCCAGTGCTGCTCCTCTCCAGCACATGCTAGCCCCCCTGCGCAGCCGTGCACCTGCCCACGCACCGCCTGCGGCGGTCCCCTGCGCTGACAAGGCAGCACACCTGCGGCTGCCGTGGTCCAACGCAGGCAAGTCACTTGCGGCTGCCTGTTTGTCTTGGATGCACACCACAGGATGGCTTGGCAGAGCGTGCAGCAATCCTCTACTGTAGAACGTCCCCTCCATCGCATATACGCAAGCAGCCAGGTCGTCGCACTTCACAAGTGCGGCGGCCCCTGCCGCACTGGCTTGGCTGCCTTCCTTTCGCAAACCCCCGGTGTGGCCCCTGCTTGATGCTGGTCCCTGTCTGTCGTGTTTTCAAACTTGTGGGTAGCCGCTGGTCAGGCTGCGACTGTGCGCATGCATGGCTCACCGAGCCCCTTCCAAGCGCACATGCCTGCAGCCAGCTCAAGTCCCCCACCTTGCATCCTTGGGCTTGGCCAGCCCCCCCCCCATTGTTGCTGCCATACTTTGTCTGGTGTGGCTGTGTTCCACACCAGGTCTTCCTCCCATCCGTCTCCATTTGTCCTTGCTTCGCTCCCGCTGCTGGCTGCGCGAGGGACGGGCCACCCGCGGCCCGCCTTGGCCAGGCCCGCCGCCGGAGGGGTTGAGGGCATGCATGACTTCTTGCCGCTGGCGGGCGCTGAACAGCTGTGGGGTTGAGACGAGACTCATGGATGGCCGGGTTATGCTCCAGCATAAGGAGAATTCCAAGAGTCGGAGGCTGACGTACTCACCATGAGAGAGAGCCAAGAAGAGAGTGTACGGTAACATACATAGCATTCCCCGTGTGGGCTATTAAGCACTGTGTGTGCAGCACATGCGCCAGCGCGTCTTGCAGCGCCCGGTCGCTCGTTGTGCATGCCCCACGCGCAGGCAGCATGGCAGCCAGTTGGCGTACCCCTCTGACAGGCTTATCCCAAGCACGGGCAGGGAGCCAGCAAAGCCCGAAAAGGTCAACACGGAGGTGCAACCACCCCTGACGGTCAACATCTGCCGGCCATGCGCAGTGCAGGGCCGGACAAGCTATTGCCACCCGCGCCTGCGCGGCGGGTAGTTGGTCGTACCCGTGGCCGGTCACGCCTGGGGGAAAGGGTACGCGCCGTGCCGCTTGAGGGCGGCCTTGAGCGCGTCGAGCTCGACGGTGCAGTCCCTGCGGCCGTTGTAGCGCCCCGTGTTCATGAGCGAGGTGAAACACCGCTCGTGCTCCCCGGAGGCCTCCTTGCAGCTGGCGAGCTCTGCCAGGGTCCAGGAGAACGGGTGGGTGGAAGGGGGAGGCGGACCCAGTGGGTGGCACGCGGGGCTGGGGAAAGCCGGGGGAGGGGCGAGATGAGGGGGCGCGCCCCGCCGAAGCTTGTGCAGCACAACGCATTGCCGGGCGCTGCAGGGCCTGAGGCCATCGTTTGCTGAGCCGCCAATGGCACGGGCTCGAGCCGTGCAGCAGGTCACAGGCGTGGCTCTGCCCCCGACGCCCGCGGCGCGCGGCTTGAGAGGCGCACCTGAAGCGGTACACATCACCAGCGCCGCTTCCAGCCGCTCGCAAGCTTTGGGATCGGCCTTGTTGGCCGCGACGCAGCCGTAGTACGCCGTTCTCCGCGCCACGCACTTCTTGGCGATGCGCGCCTCCTCCTGGGCAGAGATTTTGCTCACCTTGGCGCCCATCGCTGGCACCCTGCCAGGGCGGTGCAAGCGGTGGCAGCGATTGCGTGCTGCCGCTTGCACCTTTGGCGGCGCGCGCGAGTGGCACAGCGGTGCGCTCAGCACCACATATTGACAAGGTTGGATCTTGTGCTCCCCCACCTACAAGCTTTTGCGAGCGTCCAGGTCGCGCAGATCAGCCCCTGCAGGACAAGGGTTAATGATAGATCTATTCTGGGGACTTCCAAACAGAAATTGCAAGATTGCGCACGTTGCTAGGGCCTGTGTCCAGCCTTGCTGGCCCATGTCACCACATCGATGCAGCAGGGTAACTCGTGAGGATCCCATCATCAATGCGCCCTTCCGCCAGCGTATCTGGATACTTACAGGTTGTTGTTCTAGCTCTCAAGGCATTTCAGCGCGTTTAGAGAAGTCACGGCAGTTGGCAGCACCGCGACAACCCCTGATTCACCTCGCTGCAAAGAATCTGTGCATTCGCATATCAAAATCGTGGCGACTAAGCAGCGCGTCTGCACTGCCAGATCACTAGCCAACGGTGCCACGACACGATGCCCGAGGCCGCAGCAGATGTCGCCATGATGGATGACATCGGGCCTACCACGCTCTCGGCCGTCGAGCGCGTCAAGGCCATGACGCTGGAGGAGGTGCAGCAGCTGCTCGCCCGAGCGGGGCCCGAGGTGCAAATCGTCAAGGGCCCCGATGGCGCGCCGCGCCTGCGCCGGCGGCGCGACAAGGCAGTCATCGGTGCCAAGGACGGCCCGCGCGTCTTCACGCTCGCGCAGCTGCTTGTCGTCCTCGCCGCGATCCCGGCGGTGCTGTCTGCACTGTTCCTGCTGTGGTGGCGCCCGCACCTCGGCCTGCTCGGCGGCTCCACGGCGGTCGGCCTGCTGGGGGGCGTGGCGTTCGCATACCTCTACTCGAAAAACGCCAAGCGCAAGCAGCAGTATCTGCAGCTGGTGGGCCCGGCTGCACTCCTAGCGCGCACGCAGCCCAAGCGACCTGACTCTTTCGCGTGCTGGCGTCCATGCAGATTACTGAGGGGTGTCGTGCCGGGGGCCATCACGAATCCATTCAAGTGGTGGGGTCATCGCGACCGACCCACTGGCGGCATGCATCCAGAGGCCCGCGCTTCGCTGACGCCACGCCGCCAAACCCTCCCTGTCGCGCACCCCTTCCCCATCCGGCAGTTGAGCCAGGACCCCGGGCTAAAGGGGTGCCAGTACCTGCTGGGCTGCGTGCCGTCTTGGATCAGCCTCACAGACCGCGAAAAAATGGAGGTGCGCGGACTCATCATAGAGCGCGAGCACAACCTCATGTGTCATATGTGCGGCCTGGCTCCAGAGGGAGGGCTTGGTGGCGGCCATAAAGCGTAGCAGGCGGCATCAACAAAACGCGGATAAAGTACACATTTGTGCGCACACACTAACGCACAAACATAACACACACACACACACACACACACACACACACACACGCACCCTGCACGCGCACGGGCGCTCACGTACGTGCATCCACACGAGCACTCCCACAGGTGCCCTTGCACATGCGCTGACACGTCACGCGACTCATACCACACATGGCCCCCCACACCCCATGACGGCGCCCCTCCCCAGTGGTTCAACAAGCTGCTGGGGGAGCTGTGGCCCTACTATGACCGGGGTATCTGCAAGGTGGTCAAGGAGGTGGTGGAGCCCATCATGGACTTCTACAGGTGTGTGTGGGGGGGTGGTGGATTGGTCGGTGGAACGGGAGGGGCCAGCATGAGGGGAGGGGGCGCATTGGGCGCCGGGGATGCGGGGTGAGG